TTATAATGTAATGAACTAAAAACTGTAAACTCTTATTTTACATTATGATATCGAGAAGAACGGAGTTACGCTTGTTTATGTACTATTCTTGTAAAAATGAAAATTCTTAAGCTTTGTAAAAACTAAATTTCAAAAGGAGGAAATTACTGTAACTGGATGTTTTTTTAGTTATAGCTAATTTTAAGAACCAATTTTTTTAAATTTCAAAATACGACGCATACTGTTGATTTAAATAGATGGAGCATATTTTTCTAATCAGGTAACTTAATAATGATCTAGTCCACCAGCGGCCGAGCGGTAAAGTCGCTGAACACTGGTAGTTCGGTCCGAGGTTCGAATCCCGCGAACGGGCTGGCTGCATGGGTGTTTTCGTGGTTCCCCATGTGTAACATGGATACGAGCCAGTTTCCCTTAGAAAGTCCTCCCCTTAGGCAGATAGCTCTCGAGACTTTGCCGTAATTAAATAACCTAACCTAATAATATAATTAGGATATATACGATAGTTATAAAAATAACCACAAATTTTCATTCGTACGTAAGGTTAAAAAAAAATCTTGCTGAGGATTACTTTGAAATTCGGATATTGAATAAGTTCACTAGTAGTCAACTAAATGAGGTTATTGAACACTAGTAGTTCGTCTCGAGTATGAATCGTATAATAGTAGCTTCCCGGCGAACGGCCTGGCTGCATGGGCATTTTAGCCAGTTTTTCATAGAAAGTTTTTCAAGAAGGCATCTTTTCCTCCGTGTTTACTAAGCGTATAAAGTATTATGAGGTAATTTGTGTTTAAAAGTTCTCTATGAAGGCCCAAGGGCTAAATGTTTGAAAGCGCTGAATACTTGGATTTTGAACTGGGTTCAGTTACAGGCGAAAGGGCTGGCAGCATGGTTTCATAATTTTCATGGTTTTCCTCATGCATAACGTGAATGCGAACCAGCGTTCCTTGGAAAAAATCCTTCGTGAATGCGTCCGTTCCCTTAGGCATCTCTCGTGTTTTGCCACACTTGAAATTTAGTTTTTACAAAGCTTAAGAATTTTCATTTTTACAAGAACTTAACTTAACCACCAATAACTTAACTTAACCGAATTGCAGCGAACGGACTTGCTGCATGGGCGTTTTCGCAATTTTTTTCATGAATAACGGGAATACGAACCAGTTTCTCTTCGAGAATCTTTTAACCTTCCTCTTGTTATGCAGATAGCCATCGTATACAATAAACAAATCAAAATTTAAATAAACAAATCAATTTTAAATAAACAGCCTATTTATGCTAACCGAAGAGGCTAAGCATTAAAGCGAATGAGATTACTAACTGAGAATTAACTTAGCAAATTTTAAATTATATTTATTTTTCGTAAATGTTTGTATTACGACGTAGAAAAGGAAAGAAACGCCTTGAGCATTTATTTTAAATGATTGATGTCTGAAATTATATTATCATAACGTGAAATCATTGGTATAAGAAGCATGAACTGACAGAAATAGTATATACTTATTAATAATTATTTCCTTCAGCGGCTGCCTTAAAGAAAACTTGATAAGAAGTAACCTCAAATTCTTTGATACAATCCTTATATAGCCAAAGCTTTATATTTGAACCACCAGACATATCAAATTAACTCCATCTAATATATCTCTAACCGAATATTTAGATCTGATTGCAATAATCTAAAGCCTTGATAAGGCTTTCTATATCTAAATTTCGCTTCGAGGATTTTGGTGGAAACTTCCCAGTACCTCAGGCATGAAACAGTTTAAACACCATGCTGTCCAATTTATAGATAAGAAACTGTAGTCGACGTTTTAATTATTATGTGGACCGCATGCCTTCTTTCTTCAGTTCGTTTTTCCGATTTCTTTCTACCTTTCTTCACGCCTTATTGCTCTTACTTATGCGACAGTAGCTCACCATCTAACGTGGCGACGTATCTATCTTTCAGTTGCGGTACTTTGGCCAAGCGAATCTGTTACACTTTATTGTTATATTTCCCTAAGGTATGCATGATCGGATTGGACTTGTTGGAAAGTAACGGTGTTTCCCTTCTCTGGATGTTTGTTTTACAGGAAAGAGAAATAAAGGCGTATTTCTGAAGCATCTTTCGAGCAAAGGAAAGATTATTTTCTTCTAAGGTGTTTAATTAAGGCTTGATGAATAAGATAAAAGTATTTCTGTTTAGATTTTCCACACTGATATAGCTACTAAGGAAGAAGTTTAGTAAATGAATGTTTTTGTCTAATTTTCCCTTAGGCTATATAATTTTTTTTTTTATTCTCCAAAAATGTATTTTCGGAGAATGTAAGTTAATTTTCGTGAAAAAAAGTAATATTGATATTTTATTCCTTCACATAATTGCTCTGAAGAAGGGGGCTGAATTCTTACTAGTAAATAGTCATAGTAAATAATTTAAATTTGATTAGACATTTCAAAAAGTGAGTTAGCATCAGAATCGAAATAAAGCACCCATATGTGTTTTGAGCACCTTGACAGCAGTTCTATTTTGTTCTATTTAAACAAGCAGGTGTGTCAATATTCCGTAAGTCAGCTGTAGGGTTGCGAGTGAAAGTGCTTCTGTGACATCATCCCACGTGGGCCGTAAGGTGGCGTCTAGTTCGCAAGTTGCTATGTTTTTATTCCGACTCGCCCTGAGAATGTAGGTAGATCTGGGTTCGGTTCGTTTTGGATACTTTTACAATCATTTACACTAACACCCACCCTAAGATAGCAATAACCTTATTGTTTTTTGGCGTAATGCTTTCTGACTCAGGTACTTGAGTCTCCAATTCACCACTTGTGCACAGAATTAGGTTTTCATCCATAATCTTCGTTGCATGTTTGAAATGTACACCAAGTGGGTAGAAAAAATGTTAAGATTTAAAAAAATATAGTATTCATTTCTGCCATGAGACTGAAAAGGAAAGAGCAAAATTCTCTAGACAGGTTTGCGTTACAGTTGTGCAGTTTTGCCACCCACAACCTAAGAAAGTTTGGCAATATATTATTGCCAAATTTCTTAGGTAAATTTTATTGAAATTTATTATAATTATCTTTCGCGTTATTTTATTGAAAATGGTATCCTTTTCAAAATTTTGTTTTATGAAAATGGCGTCCGTGGGATATATTATACAGCACGATACTTCTGCCCTTGATATGAATTTTTTGAACTGTACAGATTTCTCCATAATTTGTCATGTTAATTCTCCATTCAATTTCCATTTTAATACTAAAAAACCATGTTGAAAAAATGGCGAAATCTTCCATTTCCGGATAAAATTGGCAAGGTTATGCCGTTTACAATGTGTTAAATTTTTAGTATTAAAGGGTTGGTTAAATTTTTTTTATTTAGCTATGTTTCAAATATTTTGCATTTCTTAATATATTGTAATAATGCTAAATAATAATACTTGCTTATTCATATGCAGATACAGTTTATAACTTGACATTTTGTTAAGCGTAACATGAGCATCTTATTAAGAGAAGCGTGATAAAATTAATTCATCATAATATAAATTAAATGCGTTCGTTCTGAAAATGAATATTTTCGAATGTTTACATTTGTTTGGTTAACTATTCAAACATCTATTTAACTATTCAAACATCTGTATAAGTAAATCATGTCCATTCAGTAATCACCAAACAACTAAGGAAAATTCGAACGAAAATTTTAGATAAATTTATCTTTTTAGATTTTTTTAAAGGCATATATTAGCCATTTTTAGGCTTTCTCCACTACTAAGGCCAGACAGACAATTTACATCTATGCCTTCTCCGGAATTCGAACCCGGTCCTTCGGTATCGCAGTCACTATACCGTCTGGGCGGCACCCTAACCATTATACTGTCTGGGCGGCACCTTTTTGAATTCAATTTCTAATTAACTTTCCCACACCACAAATTGTTTTTTCGAGCAATCTAGCTTTAGGTGAATGCGTATGAAGCTTTCGGTGATAAGATCCTATTTTGGACTGTTCTGATTTTTGCTTTATATTATGACCCATATAGGGAGCGAAATATTTTGGATAGTATTCCATTTTATGTATATCTGCATTAGAATAGTTGAAAATGGGAAGTCGTTATAAGATTAACAATACTGAATATGAATATATTTAGCTGTTAATGAAGCCGAAATAGTATAGTATTTTAAAAAATTAGGTAAAAGAGCAACCTTAGTTAGGTGTAGATTTTGAATAAATCTCTACGATTTCGAGAATGATCAGACACAGAATCACTCTTCTTCGAAAGCAGAAATAATTTTGTTCGTTGGTTCCATCTCCTTTCATACAGTAGATTTAATCCTGTTTATTAGCTCAGTTACTATAACTTTAGCCCTTTTTCTGTTATCACTAAAAGGCAATGAATATGAATTTGTTTTACAAAATTTAAAGCGGTGTGTGGCTTAGCGAAATTTTAAATATTTGATTTGGAATAGTGTAGCTAAAATAATAATAGAGGATAAATTCCAAGTCAAAACACGACATAATGCAATAAAATCCGATTATTGTAATAAATAAAAGTGTGTGTGTGTAGGGGGGTACATTGCGTTTACTAAAGTTTAATTTAAAAGAACATTGATACGTAAAGGGTGAGTTAATATTTAGAAATGTGTTAATTCAATATAGAATTAGCATCTTTTCTTTTTTGTGTTGTAACTAGTACTGGCAGTTTATTATTATCACAAAAGCATAATTTTAATTTTCAACACTCATTGAACAGAATGTAATTACTCTCTTAGAAACAATTGAAGTCTTTAGCCAAACTATTGAAGACTTAAAAATTGCTGTTTGCAATAGGTTGCTGCTATTTAAAAATAAAATGCACCTTAGAATAGCCTCAAGAATTAAAATTTTGTTTGCATGAATACTTAAAATAGTTTATGTCACAAAGCTACTACTACAGTAAATATATTACAAAATTTTAACATTTCTGTATTGTCTTGTTTTTAGAAAACTTGATCTTATTTTGGCACTAAATTATGTTTTCCTTTTTTTTTTTTTTTCTTAGCTCCCTTGTACATGTCTCCTGTACAGACAGAGTGCCTTAACCTGGATTATTACATTCCACAAAATCAAGAAAATGAGAATACCAAAAGATTCACGGATCAAAGATGGGAAAGAATCCGTAAGTTATTTTTTGTGTAATTGTCGAATAGGTGTTCTTTATCTTATATTAAAAGAATATTTGATAGTCGCCAAGGTTTGAAGTAGATAATTCTTTAGTTGTGTTCTTTTTTCTTTAACTGAATGGAAATGGAATAACAGTAAATGATAACAGGGGGGAATAAGGATCATAGAATTTGGTCTGTAAGCGATTAATGTGCATCTAATATCACTTCCTATAATTTTGCTTATCTTTTTGGCTCGAACATTTCTGTGCTACCATGCCTCAGCTCTGAACTGTCAACACCATTCTAGCCACATTTTCTCTCATGCCATCTGCAATCGTTTCGGTAAATATGGGCATCTATAACAGCTTTTCCTTTCGAGTTATGTTCACATTCAGAACATGTCACCACGAAATGACCCTCTTGTGCCCATTTGGATCTTACGGAAAATTTGCCCTTGTGGCCAAATTCCATTGTTGGTGTTTGTGAAATCACGTTTCTTTGTGTCATCATTGTTTTAATAGCTGTCATATTTTCGGCATTTCTTAGGAAGTTTCCTATTGTTCGTCCATGGAAAAGAAGCTCTTAATCTTCCCTAGCTACTCATAATCCTCAATGATCAAGCGTTTTTGTTACTGTGGATGTTTGTCAGTTGGTCTTTGTGACTTCCGCTTTTGAAATGGCTTCCAAATTTACGAAGTTTTTGTCCTATCTGCGGCATTCTCCGTAATGAGTGAAATATTCACATGTGCTTCCTTTAAACTGAAGAATTCTGTGCTTAAATTCAGAAGCTCAGAGGTTCTCAAAAAAAAGTATTTCATTTAAATCTTTCGTTTTTTGCATAAATCTTTCGTTATTAGAAACTAGCGATGATGTCTTGTCTTCGAAGTCAGTCAGCCTTCTTATGTTTTGGGCAATAAATAACCAAACGGTCTGATCATCCAAAAATGCGATTTTTGCATTTGTCACTAGCACTTTTAATGATTTCATTCGACTGTTCATTATATATTTGTCCCCTTTCATTTGTTTTTGTTATTAATTTGTTCTAACTTTCAAGATTTTTTTCTTCTGTCAATAAAATCCGCTATTCATTTCGTAAAGACTTATGTATATTAGATTTTAATTCATGTGTAACTTCTAGTATTCCTTGTAAGTGGGGTTTAACATACATCGGCCAGTCGGAGAGAGAATTGAAACTTTGAATACATAAATGTTTTTGCCATAAACTGAGAAGCAAGCAAACCTTTCATAATTAATCATTATTGGTCTCTTAGCGATTCTTTTAATGTTATCACATCTAAAATTATGCAGAAAAACTTCATTTGATGAATTTTATCAATTCATCAAATGATGAATCTAGATTCAACCGAATTAGCCATTTTAATTATCGATTTTATTTTCAATCTAGTTTTTCTTGATACTTTTTGTTCCTTTTATTTTATTTTATTTGATGTATGCGCTCTACTGAAGTGTTCGTTTATTTTTTTAACCTATTTGGACGATGAATTTTCCGTCAGAGGCACAGGTTATTTTTCTTCTTTTAAAAAGAAGGTTTCTTTGATTATGGCAAAGCACTCGAGGACTATCTGCCTAAAGGGAGAGATGCCTTCGTGGAAGACGTTTTAAGGGAAAGTGGCTAGTATAAACGTTACACATGGGGACAACATGAAAAGCCTATGCAGCCTACTCTGTGGCCGTGTCATTCAGAAATATCGTGCAAAATTACATCGTACGGAAGCACATTTAACAAAATTACCGAATACGTTGCAAAACAATGAATTTATTACGCGTATTCCTAAAATATTTATTACTATGAACTCTGAGTGAAAAATTAAAAGATTGTATAAGAGAATAACAACTACGAGTGTAAGTATTTGTGCATCATTTTGGTAGCGGCAGTACTGTTATATAATTATCAAAGCAGCTGCACAATTATTACATTATCTATCAAAATATATCAAATGTGTGGCCTTCATTAGACGGCCACTTGTACTAAAGAACAGCTAAGAGAGTCTTATGCTAGGAACACCATTTAGAAGTTTACAAAGGGTGCCCGAAAATTCATGCAGAATTTAAAAAATCAAAAGCAGCTTCTGAAACTAAAGGAAAAGATTTAGGAAATAAATTCTTATAAACGGAACAAAAACTAAATTAACCCAAAGAGAAACTTAAAAAAATGACTATTAGCGGTTTTCGCGAAAAGCAAGAAAAATGTATAAATGTATTAGTGAAGAAATTTTGACACATAGTTTATTCGGGGGTATACAAACTACGGAAACACTTAAGAGATATTTGATTCATATTAGTGACTTTACGGATAACTGTGGATGTAATTTTAAGGTGTTAAATCAAGAACAAATTTTTTCCTCAATCCAAAAATACCGCGTGGGAAATTTATCCGTGAAATTAAGAAAAGCAAAATTCTCCTGTCTGATTTGAATGATAAAGTAGATCGGTTGTATCAGTTCTCTTCTGACGTGATTCGTGGACTCGTAGGACTGATGTTGCAGGTAAACTGTATACCGAAAACGTAAAACAGATCTGATTTTGGAAACGAGGCTTGGATGGACACTGATAGGTAAGGCTAAGGAATTTTAAAAACAAATAGTACAATTAAGGATAAATACGAGCTAAATTTCCTTAAGAAGTCCTCCATAAAAGCACCCCTACCTTTAGGAAGATAGCTGTAGTGTGCTTTGCCTAATTAAATAACCCATTACATCCAAACAGACTCATAAAATTATAAAATAAGTCAGCAAAAATAAAAAACAAATTTTATGGAGTGATTCTTATAGCCATTAGAAGTAACTCCCCCAAAATATTTAATAAAATTAAAAACATTGAGAAATGAAGCTAATATTTATGCCTTTAACTTTTTTTCCAACTGATAAATGTATAGAAAACTAATTTAATTTTCTGACAGACTTAAAACCTTAATTTCTGACCTTGTCTTTAACGAAATTCTTATTCTGCGATAATTTAAAAATTCATGTCACAAACTGCCTTCTCTTAAAAAAAAAAAAAAAGTTAAATTTAACCACTGCTAGGTGATGTCATGGGTGTTATGGCATAAGTATTATGTTCACCTTAAAAGATGCTAGATTTCATCATCAGCCCACGTAATCATGTACGTCCACCTATATCTTATGAGAAACAAATAGAAAGACGAACGCATTTTTAATGTAAGGGAAAGCGTTTCTAATAGAACGCATGATTTGGTTTTAGTGATTATATTATACTCTCTGTAGAACGTTTAATTAATGCGATTGCTTACATTAAATACGATGAAGAATAGCCGAGAACAGCAAGAAATTACATTTATTTGCTATGGTGAGTTCACTGGGCTGATGAAAAATATTCGCAGTGAAGTAATATTAAGTAGATATTAAGACTTGAAATAACTAATGCTTGCAACAGAATGCGGCTGCGAAATTATTTAATTTTGTGATACAGTTGATTTTATGCAGATGTGATTTAACCTCTTTATATTGTCTTACACTCATATAACTGTCAGGGTTACTATGCGAGGTCCATAATTATTTTACTGTTCACGTCTTGTCGAATTTTATATTTATAGCGAATTTATATTTGTCTGATAATAATAAGTAACCAAAAATAGCTACATATATTTTATACAATCATAGCATACCTAAAGATGCTTTTTTTATATTTATAAGTTGCTTAATTTGTTTGCTAGCTCCTGTGTCCTTGCGCGATTCAAATATTCGTTCGAGGGTCAACAGCTATTCAGTTATTTTCTCCGTTCGGGTGTTGTGCTTTTGAAGCATTCCGATCATTTAAAAATCGACATGCATCATCTACCTTTCACAGACACTTGCTCTGAAACTTTGTAAATCTGCGATTACGGTATTTTTCTTATCTTTGTTCTCGTTGAAGAGAGTGCGTAACTGCTTTCTGATGCCTTCTGAATCCTTAAATACGTAACTCATCCTTATTTTTCCGTAAGAAACATTATACAACAGCAAAAATGCTGTCCAATTTTGTTTTCCTCAATTAACATAAGATACGAAACGTGTCCTTACCAAAAGGAATAGCACTAATATTAGGAGTGCAGTTTAATTCCCAAGCTTTCTTCCCCCACATGATTTATTGTTTATATATAAGAAGGGAGAAATAAAAGAAAACCTACTTACATTCTGGTCTTGAAAATATTTTCCATCACTTTCTATAGGCAGTTAGCTAATGCTTTCCCCGGGGGGGGGGTGAAGAAAGGAAAAAAAAAAAAAAAAAGAGGTTGTATCTATTTGCGTTCAATTATTTTGTTGTTATTTTCGCCCCACCCCACCTTAGGCCTATTGGTTAAAAATCGCTGAATACTGGGCGTTCCGTATTGGTCGAGCGGGTTGAACGGGCTTTTCCATAGTTTTCCCCATGTGTAACGTGAATGTTAGCCAGTTTCTCTTAGAAACCCCTCCACGAAGGCACACCTTCCGTACGCAAATAGCTCTCATGTACTTTGCCATATTAAGATTGATTTGATATTATTTTTAAATAACTAAATCTGCGATTTGCAAATCACAATGAACCCTAATGGTTCGACTCCGGCGTATTTACACTCATAAACTTTTTTTAAAAAAAATTTATGCGCCTAAGGTAAAAAATATTAATGCCAAAAGATTCAAGAATCCTTTTTTTTTTTTTTTTTTTCTCAGACCAAAATAGCCAACACTATTTACCTAGTGAAGGATATATATCATCAACAGCCACGCCAAATTAGTGAATCATCATAGGATGGGAAAAACTTGGAACCGTAAAAGATTGCACCGATTTTCATATCCAAACTTATTGGCAAATTGGTCAATAAGAAGCAAACCTTCAAAAAGTTGAGGTGTAAAAGAAAGAAGTTTCCAAAATAAAATGTTTAAAATATAACGTAGATATATGCTTAACCAAATACGCAAATTGCTGTATAGAAAATAAACATTTTCTTACTTTAAGAAGCAAAGCAATGTTTGCTCCCGAAGAAAGAGCAACTGTATCTAAAATCTGCGCCAAA